ACCCCCGTACCAGACCAGGACTGGCAACGGGATCGCAACCCTCGGTGTTGCTCCCGCGCCTCGCTCAGCCAGTGAGCGGGAACCGGTCTGTATGTGGGATCCGAACCCTCGGTGGGAGCGCCACCACACTCCCAAGCGGCACACTATAGCAGTGCGCCACCGGGCCGGCCCCCTTTCCAGCCTCTTATAGCAGCATGTTTTCAGGACAGTGCCTCTACCAAAGTGTAGTTTAAGGATCAATTACCTACATTTTTAATTTTTATCTAGACTCATACCATCAAAAAGAGACAGGCTATCTTATTTTTTATAATAATTTCCCAAAGTGCGTAACACAGTACTCTGCACAAGTAAGGGTCCAAGACAAGTTAATGAATTTCTGATAACTCCTGTAAGTTTTTCATCTCCTATTGGACCTAATGTAAACCTCACAAAAACCTTAATTTTAATATAAACAATATGCGGCAGAATTCAATTACTTTTAACATAATCTAGTTATTTTTTACATGCAGACTTGACCCAAAGCAATTTTTGTACTTTGGCTACAAAGAAGGAGTACAGAGAAGCTGGACTTTTGAAGAAACACATGCTCTCTGAAATGTCATATAATACTTACTTAGGGGAAAGCACCGGAGGACTGACAAAAGACCGAAGCGCATCTTTCACCATGTCTTGCATGAGATGAGTTCCAAAGACCTTCTTGTTATCCACCAGGAAAGTGGTCTTAAAAAAAATATTACATATCAGCAATGCTGTCACACACACAGTTCTCATTACTGTGACATAAGCATTCTTTATATAAATACCACAGAATACAACAGTGATTAAAATATGAGAAGCTGGTGGATTTTTAAAATCACTGCCTCCACAATGGGTACTACTTATTAATCCTTTTTAAAGGTGCATTCTGATGTAGGAGAATAAAAAATGTGTACAAATAAAATCTCCAAGTCAAGAGTAATAATATTGAACTGAACTAGTCAAAAGGAACTGACTGGTCTAAATATGTCAAAAGAGCTAATATACAAGAAAGGGCTTCATAAGTTATAAAGTATCAAATGGCTCTAAGTATCATTATTTAGTAATCATTATCTCTAATGAATGCTGTGTAATACATACAAACTTTCCGAAAATACAAAAAATGTATTTAAAGTAACGGTTTACATTTAATAATAATTTCTAATTAATTTCCTCCCCTTAACAACCCAAGTGTACTTTTTTAAATATACCGCATCTTATTTGATTTCCTAATACAGTTTTAAAATTTTATGTTTAAATTCACATATACTAAAATTTACATATTTTATTGTACAGTTGTATGTTTCTGACCAATGCATACTTGTTTAAGCAGTACAACAATCAAGACACAGAACTGCATCACCCCAAAAACATTCCGTCATGTGCTCCCTTTGTAGTCAAGCCCTCCCCCAACCCCAAACCTCTGGCAACCAATTCTGGTCTCCAATTCAATCGTTTTACCATTTCTAGCTTGCCATTAAGATGAAAGCATAAAGCCCTTTGAGATGCAGTAGAAATTCATTTGCATTGTTGAGTGTATCGACACTTCATTCCTTTGTATTTCTGAGTATTCCAATGTGGGCATATACCATAGTATGCTTATCCATTTACCAGCTCAAGAACATCTGGGTTGTCTCAGTTTTTGTGATCATGAACAGCCCTAAACATTTGCATAGAGGTTTCACTTCTCTTAGGCAGTCAACTAGTAGTGTAATTTACATGTTTAATTTTATACTATTTTCATCACCAATGCATACTCACCACTAGGTGGTATTGTCAGATTTCTTTTTTCTAAAGATATTCAGTAAAGGTAGATAGTATTTCATTGTGGTTTAATTTGCATTTCCCTAATACTAACCATGCTGAATATCTTTTCATATTGAATTTCAAGTCTTTTGTCCATTTTTAAAAACTGCCTGGTTGTTTTCTTGTTGAGTTTATAGAGTTCTTTATGTGTTCATTGTCAGACACATGACTTGCAAATATTTTTTCCCATACTACAGAGTCTCTCTTCATTTTCTTAAGTGTCTTTCACAGAATAAAAGTTTTAAATTTATTGATTTATCATTTTTTTAATGGATTTTGCTTTTTATGTTATACCTAACAACCTTCTGCCTTCCCCAAGGTTATAAAGATTCTCTACCCTTTCTACTAAAGTTTTCATAGTTTTGCATTTTATACTTAGGTTTATGACGCATTCTGCATCAATTTCTTTCATACCCCTGTCCAATTGTTCTTGCACCACTTCTGGAACAGACTATCATATCATTTCTCCATTAGTTTCCCTTTGCACCTCTGTCAAAAATTAATTGACCATATTACTAACTAATTATTTGGCCACATTAGTCAATCAATAAAGGATTATATACTATAATACTATATAATAAAGGACCAATTTTTTTTTTAAAGTACTTTTTTGGACTTTCCCCTAGGTTCCAATTTTGCCAATATCACACCTGTCTTATTAGAGTCAGGCAGTGTGGGTTCTCCAACTTTATTCCTTTTTTTTTTCAAAATTGTTTTAGCTGTTCTAGTCCCATTGCCTTTCCTTATAAATTTTACAATCGGATTGTTGACAGCTACTAAAAATTCCTGCTGTGATTCTGAGATTGCTTTGAATCTGCAGATCAATTTGGGAAAAATTAACAACTTAAAAATATCAGTTCTTCCAATCCATGAAAAAGGTATATGTCTTCATTTACTTAGGTCTTCTTTGATTTCTTTCATTAGTACTTTGCAGTTTTTCAGCATACAGGTCCTACACACAGGTTGTTACATTTATAACTAAGTATTTCATTTTTTGATGTTATTGTAAGTAGTACAGTTATAATAATTTTGATCTCCCATTTTTCACTGCAACTATATAGAAATACAACTGCTTTTTGTATAATGAACTCATATCCTGTGATTTTACTAAACTTATACATCGGTTCTAGGAGCTTCTTTGTAGATCCCTTGGCATTCTACACAGAATATCACGTCATCTGTAAATAGACATTATTTCTTCCTTTCCAATTTGTATACCTTTTACTTCTTTTTCTTGCCTTATTATAAGCACTGGTTAAGAATTCCAATGTTAAGAGTAGAGTGATGAGAGCACAAATCCTTGCTTTCTTCCCTATCTTAGGAGGAGAATAATTAGTCTTTTACCATTAAGCATGTTGTTAGCTGTAGGTTGTTCGTACATCCCCTTTATCTGGTTAAAGAAGTCCTCTTCTATTCTTAAATTTGCTGAGAGTTTTTAAATTATGAATAGATGTTGAATCTTGTCAAATGATTTTCTGAATCTACTGAAATTTTAGATTGTATGGTGAATTATACTGACAGATTTTCAAATGTTGTACCAGCCTTGCACTCCTGGGATAAACCCCAATTGGTCATTATGTATTATCTCTTTTCATGTATTGCTGGATTCAATTTGTCAATACTTTGTTAAACATTTTATGTCTACATTCATAAGAGAGCGTGTCTATAGTTTTCTATGTTTGCAATGTCAGTTTAGTTTTGGTATTGAGTTAATGCTGGCCTCATATTATGAATGTTCTTGGCTCTTCTATTTTCTGGAAGAGATTGTGTAAAATTAGCCTGAAGCTTTGTTAGGTTTTTAACTATGAATTTAATTTATTTAATATATACATGATTATTCAAATTATCTGTTTCTTTTTGAGTGAGTTTTGGTAGTTTGTATCTTTAAAAAAATTGACCCATTTTATCTAAGTTCTTGAATTTACAGACGCAGAGTTGTGTACAATATTCCCATATTATCCTTTCAATGTGTACAGGATCTACAGATACCCCCTTTCATTCTTGATATCAGTCATTTGTACCCACTCTCTTTTTCTTATTCTTTCTAGTTAGAGGTTCATCTAGTTAGAGTTTCCCTTATTGATGTTTTCAAAGAACCAGCTTTTGGTTACATTAATTTTTCTCTATTATTTTTCTGTTTCATATATTACTAACTTCTGCTCTATCTTCATTATTTCCTTCTTTTTGTTTGCTTTTATTTGCTCATTTTCTGGTTTCTTCAAGTGGGAGCTTAAATTAATAATTTCAGACTTTTCTTTTTTTAATACAAACATTTAATGCTATAACTTATAGCAATAGTGCTATAAGCACTATTTTAGTTACATCTCACAGATTGATATTATATTTTCATTTTCATTCAGTTCAAAATATTTTTGCATTTCCCTCAAGACTCCATCTTTGACCCAAGAATTATTTAGAAGTATGCTTAATTTCCATATATCTGAAGATTTTTCCAGATATCTTTCTCTTATTATTAGTTTAATTCCACAATGGGCAGAAAAATACTTTGTTTGATTCCAATTGTTTTAAAATTATGAAGATTTGTTTTATGGCCCAGGAAATGACCTTGATGAATGTCTAACACACTAAGGCAATATTTCAATTAAAAATATAGCACTAATGGTAGAATATCCTTTAAAGGCATCTACCTTTTGTTCCATCAATCAATAAAACAATGTCGATATACATATAATTTAATGTTTATAGAAGTATTTTTATACTGAGTGGAACTTACTTGTAACAGAGATCTTGAAAGAACACATGGTGATTGTTCACTAAATTCACAGAAAAAATCCTAATAAATAGAGAAAAAGCAATGTCATTAATAGATTAAATAAAAGCAGAAAATGTTTGAATATAGGGTGCAATTTTTCCTAGACCTTGTGAAAATGATATGTTACCAGAGTTAAAATATGACAAATGGTTGAAGGTCATTTCTACACGAGTTTTCTAACTGTATCAAAAGGGACAATGAATAATTTTAGAGCCTAAAAAAATTTTTTAAAGAACTTGTTGATAATAGAATTCTGCAAATACAAATATTAAATTTGTACACCATAAAAGCAATAATAGCCATATAGTCACCTCTCAGTATCCAGGGCAACTGGTTCTAGGATCTCCCTCAGACACCAAAATGCACAGATGCTCAAGTCCCTGATAATAAAATGGCACGGTATTTGCATATAACCTACGCACACCCTGCCATATACTTTAAATCATCTGTAGGTTATCTGTAACATCTAATACAATGTCCTGGCTATGTAAATAGTTGTTACACTGTTGTTTAGGGAATAACGACAAGAAAAAAAGTCCACATTTCAGTACATATGCAATTTCTTTTTAATATATTTTCAATCTGCAGTTGGTTTACTCTACAGATGCAGAAGCTCCGGATGACTGTAAAACTTTACTAAGTAATGGCAGAACTTTAGTCCCTAGTTCACAGAAATAAATACCAAGTAACCAGGTCAACTGGATTCACATTACTGACTGTTGCTGACTGTAGGGAAGACCAAATGATTTGGGTTTATATTCAGAAAAAGAGATGAGAAAATACACTCACATGTTAACATCTTCCAAATTTTATAGATAAGTAAAAGTGCATGTATGTATTTTACTATTTGGATTTGAGTTTGTTCAATATAGTTATCTGGGCTTAGGAACGAACACCTATGGCACTGCTGTAGGCTGGCAGTGTGAGAACAAAAGATACACAACTCACAGCCTCCTCTCCCAGTACGAGGAACAGGAGGTGCTGCCCACATGACTATCGCTGTGGAAAACACTCCCAGACAAACAGCACTTTCCCCGCTGAGCCCTCTACTGCAGCCTACGGATCCTCCTGAGCAGATTTCAATAACTCAGCTTTGGTATTCAAGATGAACCTATTTGCCATTCCAACTCCATTCAAGAAAGGCAATACTACAGCTGGACTTGGGACATTCCTGGTATCTTTATTGTGTGGGGTTCCTAAAATAAATGGGGGGAAAGTGGGGGTGGGGGGTGGGGGGGAACTTTTTCTCCTTGATCTGCTCTCCTTTCTGGTTATCATCTCATGAACAGTCAACCACCATGTTTAAATTCCTTCCTCTTTTAGAGAAAACGAGCCTGCCTTTTCAGTTACATTTCCTTTCTTTATGACCACTTGTTCCAGTTCCTTCATTAGCTTCTCTTCTTCATCCCAAACATTAAGTAGACATGTCCTTTGTCTGCTTTTGTTCTACGCTTCTACCCCACACTCATGATCTCCAAGGGTAAATGTGAGTTCTGCCAAAATCTACGAAGTTTTTCTGGTCAATTCACTCGTTCACAGTTGACTTTTAAACCTTGTTCACATTCCTCAAAGTAAATATTCCCCATCAGAGACACCATATCCCATTCTGCATCACAAGGGAAATAAGTCATCAGTCCAACAGGTAACCCCTCAACTTCAGCCTCTAACTCCACCCACATCTGCACCCAGATCCTTTCCTTGCCTTACACTTGTACTGAAAACCCCAGCTTCTTCCAGGAACATGAACACCCAGTCAATTATCCATCCTCCACTCTCCTAGATACTAAAAGTCTCCCTCTTAGGGCTGGCCAGCTGGCTCAGTTGGTTACAGCACGGTGTTATAACACCAAGGTCAAGGGTTCAGATCCCCGTACCAGCCAGCCGCCAAAAAAAAAAAAAAAAAAAAAAAAAAAATTAAAATTCTCCCTCTTTAGTGGACCTTTCCCATCTACATTTAAACAGTCAAGTTTCTCCCATCTTTAAAAAGAAAGAAGAAAAGACTGTCACATGCTCCACACATTTCCCTCTCACCCACTGCCTTCTCAGCAAACTTTCCAAAGGAAGTGGCTGTGCCCACTCTCTCTACTTACTCGACTCCCACTCATCCTCGGCACGTGCTAACTTTGCACTCTGCACCACTGTCCCCTGGCCCTAAATCCAACGGACATTTGTTTTGAGTTTATTCATCTTTTTCATTTGACTTGTCGGCAGGACTTCCTTCTTGAAAAACAGTTTAACTGCTTAGACTACCTTCTTTTCTCAGTCTATACACTTTCTTCCTCACAATTTTATCGTTGCTCATGTTTCAGTTACTACCCATATTGTAATAATTCCAAATTATATCTGTAGCACAGAACTCTAAATTCTATCCATACATATCTACTAAGTAGATACCTAGTCAATATCTCTACTTAAATATTTCAAAGGCACCTCAAATTCAACTTCAGTAAGATACTTACACCTGGTCCTCTTTGAGAGTCCCCCCATTTCAGTGAAGAGCCCAAGAGCACATCTAGACTTACAAGTCAGAAACCAGAAAACCTTCCTGAGAACTTTCTCATGCCCCATATTTAATTCATCACCAATACTCTGACAATTCTAGCTTACACAAAGCTCTAACCTTACATCTCTCTCCCTTGGACTATAGTACCCACTTTCTTAATTTATCTTCCTATGTTTACACTGGTCCATTTCCAATCTTCTTTCTACAGTGCAGCCACTGCATCTCTGCAAATTGATATTACGTCACTACCCAACCCACAGTGATACTGCATAAAAGCTCTAGTGGCTTTTGTTTGCTCTATGATAAAGACCAAAATCCTTCATGTGGCCTAAATGGCCTTGCTTGGACTGCCGCCCTCTCTAGTCTGACCAAACTCTACACCACTCCATCACTCTATACTTTACTGGCTTTTAGTTTCTCAAGTGTATCATGTTCTTTTGCACCACGAGGAACATTCAACTTCCTTCACCTGAATTGCCAACCTACCATCCTAATTAATGTCTTTCTAACTTTTAGATCTGAGCTTTACCTTCACTTCCTTAAGAAAGCCTTCCTTGGTCATCCAGGTCAGTTCCTTCATTTTACATTATATGTTCTAGTTCCTTTCTTTCATTCCACTTACTTTGATTTGTAATTCTATAATCATTTTTATAATTATTTGATCAATTTCTCTCTCACACTAGACTGTATGCCCTATGACAACTTGGATAATATGCCTGTGCTCATCAATGCACAAAGAAAATGCCCAAAGATATTTGCTGAACTGATGAATGTAGGTATACTCACTTTCACAGCTTTATCCATACTCCATTTCTCCCTTTCTTATTGCTAGTACATATCTCTAACAGATTACATTGTATAAAGTGCATTGTTTACTGCATCTCAAATAGGTATCCTTCCTAATTACTCAATAGCTGTCAAAAGTATCATATTCTGGGTTTCTACTCTCCAAGTTTCTCTTCACTAATTTCTCTACCTTCTTTCTGCCTTACCAAGATGGTGTTTTCCTTATCTGCAAAATACCAAAAACTCTGAAAATGCAGAAAAACGCAAAGAATAAACTATCATCCAGTATTTCACCATCCTAGAAAGAGTCAGAATTAACACCGTGGTATTTTTTACATCAATCATTTGAACTGAATTTGTCTCCATCTCTGACAATGTTTTCTTGTGTGTGTGTGAGAATATATAGGTGGATATATATTCTTAAACATAACTTGACATTCATAAACATTTCCCCATGTCATTACTTCTCTATAACATGCTTTTTAATGGCTGCATGACGTATATTCTACACATACCATAGATTATATAGTGTTATTACCACTGGGTATTTAAACTGTTCCTAGTTTCTCAAGATTACAAACAATGATGCCACAAACACATTTTAAGTGCACCACTGCATATATCTCAAATTTTATGCTAAATCTCTAGAAGGAGAGCTGTTGGGTTAGAGAATACACATTTCAAGACTGCTGAGATAGAGCCACAGGTGTGTGGAAGAATGGCTACTTCCCTTTACCAACATTAAGTATTACTATACTTTTCAATTTAGTTGTTATATTTCTTCAATTACTAGTGAGATTACATACTTTTCACGTTTCTTTCTTCCTAAATGTGAACTGGCAGTTCACATCCTTTCCCAATTTTCCATTGGGATGATTATCTTTATCCTACTTTTATGTAAGTACTCTTTATAATTTGGCACTTTATCCCAATATTTGCAAGTTTCCTACACAGACACACCAGACTACCTGATCCCTTACCCTTCCTTAACTTTAGCCTCTTCCTCTACTCCTGGCCTCTGCCACACTCTCCCCACTACTACCACCAATTCCTCTGTCCCACGTCTTCAGGTATCCAGAGTCTTCTCTCACACCTCCAGTTCCAGCAGTCCAGGCCTTGCTCCTCAGTCCCCCTCTACTGGGGAATGCCATCATGCAGTCATCCCCTGACAAGGCAATCCAAAAACTTCTGCCAGAATATCTAGGACCAAGGCGAGACTGTCTAGGGTTGAGGAAAATACTGAGTTACTCTGATGCTCTAGATTGCATCTGATGACAACAGTCAGAGTAGACAGGAGGGTGTGACAGGTACAATGATGGATGAAAGTTGAATCCATAACCACTAGGTTTTGGCTCGCTCAGCCAGTGAGCGGGAACCGGTCTGTATGTGGGATCCGAACCCTCGGGCGGGAGCGCCGCCGCGCTTCCCAAGCGGCGCACTATCCAGTGCACCACCGGGCCGGCCCTAACCACTAGGTTTTAATGCATATGAGTAATCTTTTACAGACCTTTTGGCTAAGATAAAGTGTAACATATATGGGTAATGATTAAAAACTAATTATGGAGAAAACCACTAATACTGTGACTGATTATGGATATTAGAGATTTAAATTTAACTAAAACTAAAGATTTGGTGTATTTATATAACAGTATTATTTATAGTAATTTATGAGAACTGTTTGCTATGTATGCTTAATTCTCACGTAGTACAATGATAAAATATAAATGTGGAATAAGTACTCGAGGTTTCATTTGATCGGTCTATACTTACCAGTCAAGCTTCTGGCTCAAGATTCTCATCACCTTTCACCTGCATTACCCTGTTGGCCTACTAACACAAGTGTGACTTTCACATGCATCATTTCACTTCCCTGCTCAAGAACACACAACAGTTCATAATCCAATCATGACTAAACATTGGGGTTTTTGCAATTTTTGCTCCACCTTAACTACCCACACCTACTCATCCAACTTTTCAAATAACTCAACATGTGGCCACTGATCCACTAGAATGCCCTTCTTACTAATTTGACAGTCTGTGATCACTTTTCTCATACTCCTAGAAAAGTCCTTTCTCTTTTTTCATTATCAATACTCTACTCACTCCTCAAGACTCAGACCAAATTACAACTCCTACATTATACTTTTTTATTCCAATTCATATTGATCTTCACCTTTTCTAAAATTCAGTTGCATTTGCAGACAACAGGTATGCATTAGTTTCATCTAACTAAAGGGGTAAGATGTAAAAATGGACCCAGTCATTTTTTCTAAGTTTCATTCCCAATTACACTGTATGTGTCATTTCATACTGTCCTCATAAATCTTAGAGAAATATCAATTACACCATTCTAGGTACGGATCTAGTTGTAAATTATTAATCTGATCCATTTATTGTAAACAAAACTCCAAAATTTGGGCATTTTGATACTCATGAAAGCTTACACACATGAAACTTACATACCCAGAAAAACTTATATACATAATCTCCATCAAGGGTACACCCAAAATAGCAGTCACTGACTATAATTTAACCTAGGAGTAAGAGTTTTACTCTACACAGAGCTAGGAGAGCAGTGACTCAAGAGGCAGCGACTGGTAATAGAAAAGCACACAGAACCACAGAACCACAGGACCAGGGACAGCAATGAAAATAGACCAGATTCGGAGAAATAAAAACTGAGTAAGAATGCAGAATAGAAGACAGAGGAAGGAACGAGACGTAAACCAAAGAGCCAAGCAGTAGTTTACATGGACAGGTAAGACACTGGTCACAAAGAAGTTCAGTAATTCATTTAAAAATAAGAACCTACTATACAGAGTCAAGCAAAACAGATTAAGACACCAGCTCCAAGAAAATCTTGATACAAAAGGTCTCATTAATAAAAAGTTTCAGATATGCTCCATGTTGTGCAGAGGGCTAAACACAGGGTAAAGAGGTAGAGTCAGAAAGATGGATGGGGCCGGCCCAGTGGCGCACTGCTACAGTGCACTGCTTGGGAGTGCGGAAGTGCTCCCGCTGAGGGTTCGGATCCCACATACAGACCGGTTCCCGTTCACTGGCTGAGCGAGGTGCGGGCGCAACGCCGAGGGTTGCGATCCCGTTGCAGGTCCCGGTCTGGTACGGGCGCGACACTGAGGGTTGCGATCCGTTGCCAGACACGAAAAAAAAAAAAGAAAGATGGAAATATTAAACCGGCAATGGGTGGGAAAGATTCTGACAACTTTATCTTGTTCCCTCTTTGCTTTGGCCTGCAATACTTCATAATGAATGAAACAAACAAACAAAGCCCTTTTCCTTTAATATTCTCAAAGCTTTGATAAATGTATATTAAAGAAACAACCACGTTACCAGAGTAAAAAACCCTCCCTGTACTACTGGTTAGCCTTCATATGTACAGGCCAAAATTACTGACCAATGTGGGTCACAGGCAGAAAGTATCAGAAGTCTATGAATCTGCCCCTTCAATGGCTGCCATAATCACCCCCATCTCTCAATCCTAAACCAGCTCTTACAGAGCCAAAGCCAGAAAAAAGCTTATTGAGCCATCTGTACAATCAAGTTCTTTCATACGAGATCCTGCAGCTGGCTGAAAAACATCCAAAGGATCACTGACATTGCCTGAGCTACCTACCCTGGTTAGAACCAATATGAATTCCCTGAGGTGCCTGGAATGGGCCATGGTCTCCTCAGAGGACTTTGTGAAAATGATTGGTTATAATGAAAAACTACTTATCCCTCAGTATCAGGAGCCCATCAAGACCCAAGTCAGCCTTGTGTCTCGATTTTTAAAAAAAAAGTCAATTCATCTACCAAGAATAAAGGAACAGAACTGGTAAAACAACAACACACACTAAGAACATATTACTCGATGGGGTATAAAAGAATAAAGTAGGTTGCTTACACTTAAAGATCTTATAATTATCTGGTGAGCACAAATATATATTCATGTAAAAATTAGAATCAGAAAAGTAGATGGAGGAGGAAGAGTAGGAAAATCTCTGTTCTAATTCCAGATATGCCACTATGGTCATTTCATTTGGTCACAAGCCCTCTAAACCTTAGTTTGTTTAGCTATAAAATGGATTGTTAAATGAACTGGCTTATGTCTATGATCTTTCCTCCTACCCTTAAGATCCTGTGATTCTTATGACAGAATAAGGGAAAGCTACTCAAAATAAACACAACAGAAAGTAGTAAGTTCATAATTAATAAAATTTTCAGTAAGGAATGAAGACTTAAGCTGGGCTTTAATCACAAAGAATTAATGAAAGGGAAGATAAGGATATTACAAGAAAGAGCATAAACAAAAACACAAATCTTTACTGACCATCAACTATATACCAGAGACTGCAGCCAAATGCTGGGAATATGAACCAGATACTTTGTGATCTCAAAAACATGGGTACAGTAGCAACCTGCAACCAAAAAGACTTCACAGGGAAAATGACATGGGGCTAGGAATTATGAACTTGAGCATGCCAGGTAACAACAGACATATGCCTATTTATGTATAGTTAAGCAACACATGCCATTATCCTTCCGTCCTAAGAACAACAGTGTTATTTTACATATTTTCTACCTTCCTACTAACCTTATTATGTACAGCACTATAACCTTACCAACTAAAAAGCTTCAACCCTAAATGTTTTAATATTCCCCAAATAAACCTTATTTTTCTATATTTTAAGCCACAAAAAAGATTAATCCAAAATATGGTAGCTTAGAAATGTGCATATTCTTTTACCCAGCAACGTCGTTTTTAGGAAATTTATCTTTAGGGGAAAGGCAATACCTAATATAAAGATTTACCTACAAAGGTGTTCATCTTAGTATTGTTTACAATAGTGAAACAATGGAAATGAACTAAACATAATTTCATTTGAATAAACTAAAAAATCCTGCAATATATACTTACAATGGAATACCACACAGCCATTAAAATAAAGCAGAAACATGTATATTTGTTGACATGAAAAAATAAGATGTCCATGATGTAAAAATTAGTGATTAACCAAAGCAGGTTAGCAAACACCACAATCCCATTTTTAAAATACTCCTACACACACTTACAAATATATATATGTGTGTGTGCATATATGCATACATACGTGCACACGCAAATACAGTTATGCATTGCTTAACAACAGGGACACATTCTGACTTAAAATACTCCTACACACACTTACAAATATATATATGTGTGTGTGCATATATGCATACATATGTGCACACGCAAATACAGTTATGCATTGCTTAACAACAGGGACACATTCTGACGAAGGCATCATAAGGCGATTTCGTTGTTGTGAACATCACACAGTGTACTTACACAAACCTAAGTGGTACATATATTTATAAATTTTTTTTCATATGTAAAACCAAACGTCCCAGCACCATTAGTGAATATCAATCATTTCTCCTACTTGATCCTCAATGCCAATATCAAGTACCATATATCAGCTTTCTGTATACGATCCATTATACTCTCATGGGACTACCGTCACATAATGCAGTCCGTCGTTGACTGAAACAACATTATGCAGTACATGACTATACATATTTATATAAAAAGTTTTAAAGACAGAATGCAGGGTTTAAACCCTATTCTTAAAACGGGTGAATTAGGTAACCTCTCTAAACTTTATCTTCTTAATCTCTAAAATGGATAATATAAAATCCTTATGAGGATTAAACAGAATGTTATGTGTGTATGCACACACACACTCACACTACTTAATCCTCTAGTTATCATAGAAAATAGGTCACCAGTATTATTTATACTCAGAACAGCCGGTCTCTAAAAAGCAATAAACTACTCTGTTATTAAACCAAAGTTATATTCCAGAAGAGATTTGTACTTACCAGTATACAATGTAAGTTTGTTAAATTCACAACTTCACAGACAGTTTTTATTCTATCTATTAATCTTGCAAAATAGTTGACCATTTCTTCCCTTTTAATTATTTTTGCATATCGAGGGAAGGTCGGTGGAAGTAGTCTCTGGTTAACAAGGGGCTCAAAACCCATCATAATTGGATGATCTAAAAAAAAAAAAAGTAAGATTTCCAATGTTTCTCTGAATTTTAAATCACAAATGCTATTAATGATAAAAAGACAAATGCCAAACAAATTGTAATCACAAAATCCTCTACATGAATGAAGCTATTTCAAAAAGTTCATGGAAAAATAGAATTAAAAGATAATACGAATCTTTCCATGAACTTTTTGAAGAAGCCTCATATTAACCTCTGAAATTAATACAGCTCTCCTGCACACTGTAGGGTTTTTAGCAGTATCTCTTATGTCTTCTTGGTAGATTCCAGTAGCACCCCCTAATTGTGAAAAACAACTGCATCTAGAATGTCTCTGTGAGGCCCCAGTTAAGAAACACTAGTCTAGACAAATAAAATAATAATTATAATTCAGTGTGGATAAGGCCAGGATGTAACAGGGGCACCTATATTCATGATAAAATGAGAGGAAAGACTTCCTAGAAGAAGTGAAATCTAAGGAAAGGCCTAAATGACCAGAAGTTAGCCTTTCAAAGGACAAAACATTAGTCAAGACAAAGTATTCCAAGAATATCGAAGGCCCGGAGAACAGAGAATATGGCTACCTTTTTTTTTTTTTGCCTCAGAGAGCTGCAATTTCCAAGTCCTAACTTCTCCAAGCTCAGAAAGTAACAACAGATGCATATAAACAGACTGAGGACAAAGCTTCTATGCATAAACTTGGAAGTTATCTGTGTGCTCTTCTCCACTCTCCACATACATTTAAAGTTTTCTCCCACATTTTTCTAGACATCGTCCAAGTAAATGGTTAATTATTAAAGGGTTCCTGATAGCTATTTTTTAGTTTCAGCTGTTGTTGAATCTCATGCGTAGGGACTTAGTAACCATCCTGTACGAGACATCATAGGTTGCTTGATTAGAAAAGAGGGTAAGAACCAAGATATAATAAAAGACTCAAGCAATTATTCAGGACATAGACAACAGTTGAGCAAGAGAGGGGCTAAAAGCTAGGAAGGAGTTTGTGTTTGGTTTCAAGGCAACAGAAACTATAAAAAGTGAAAAGCAGCTTTATCAGACCCAGTCTTCTCCCAGAATAAACTGCTCTAACAATTTCCCATTGTACTTCGTATCTCTACGACACTATTAGTCACAGACTGTCTTATATTAAAATAAGCTGAACAGGCTCTGATGCCCCTTACTGAATGAACTCAGAAAGAAACAATTCACACCACCTTCTACCTAGCATGTGCTCAATAAAGTTTTCCTCAAAATTTTTGAGTTGCATACAGATCAGACAAGATAACTTCTACGCTTCCTTCTGATTTTACACGTCTGTAATTTTACAAAATTATCCTGGTTTTCCTATTATAATATGTTATGTATGAAAGCTAAAAATCACTCTTAGTACAAGAGTGCCAAATAAGATTATTTTCCTCTCACACTAGCACTCTTTTAAGGTCTAGCTATTATTTTCAAAACACTGTTAACACACTAAAGTATTTGAGTTACTAAAATTCCTGTTAGATCACTGGTCTTTATTAGTAATAGCAGAAAAGTACTACCAACAGCACAAGGCCACTGGATAAAAGATTTATAGTAACAACGTACTGAGCAGAGTAAGTTATTCTAAAAGTAAATTAGATGTCAAAATTAAAGATCTAGAAATGTAGTAGTCAAAAGAGATAGAAATATTACATAATGTTTATACAACACGAGTTACATGGGCAACTTATAGTTAGACTTATTAAAATCTTGAGTTTTAGATGCCCTGAAGTCGAAAGGAATTCTGGAAAATAATGCAGAAGCTGCTGAGGTTTGGTTATGTTATTCTGTACTTGACTATTTGATTTCCTGTTATAAGAAGTTATAATATTATGCTAAATGAAATAAGCCAGACACAAAAGGACAAATACTGTATGATCCCATTTACATGGAACAGAACAGTCAAATTCATAGACAGAAAGTAGAGCAGTGGTTACCAGAGGCAGCGGAGAGAAAGGAATGAGAGTTAATGTTTCAAGAACAGATACAGAGTTTCAGTTTGGGAAGACGAAAAAGTTCCAGACATGGATGGTGGTGAGAGTTCCACAACAACGTGGAAGTACTTAATGCCTCCAAATTGTACACTTAAAATGATTAAAATGGTAAATTTTAGGGCTGGCCCGGTGTTGCACTCGGTAGAGTGCGGCGCTTGGGAGCGTGGAGGCGCTCCCGCCGAGGGTTCGGATCCCATATAGAGACCGGTCCGCTCACTGGTTGAGCGCGGTGCGGGCGCGACACCGAGGGTTGCGATCCCGTTGCCAGTCGCGGTACGGGCGCGACACTGAGGGTTGCGGTCCCATTACCGGTCACGAAAAAAGACAAAAAGGAAAAAAAAAATGGTAAATTTTAAATAATGTATATTTGACCACAATAATAAAACGTTATAAAAAGGAATTAAACCACAACTGTTAAACTCAAGGCATGGCCTCAAAATTCTAATCATGGGTCAGAATAACCTAGTGTGTAATATTATGCAAATCTATATATTTTGACATTTTTTATACATTTTTTGAATTGGAAATGCATGTGAATGATAAAAGTTTCAAACACAACAAAAGGGTGTACAATAAAAAGCAAGTCTCCTGCCCACTTGTGATCGTCAGTTTGTCTCTTGAGAACTAACTACTACTAAAAGCTTCTTCCATGTGTGTCGTATAACTTCGTATAATGTATGCTATACGAAGTTATTACGAGACTCAGACCAAATTACAACTCCTACATTATACTTTTTTATTCCAATTCATATTGATCTTCACCTTTTCTAAAATTCAGTTGCATTTGCAGACAACAGGTATGCATTAGTTTCATCTAACTAAAGGGGTAAGATGTAAAAATGGACCCAGTCATTTTTTCTAAGTTTCATTCCCAATTACACTGTATGTGTCATTTCATACTGTCCTCATAAATCTTAGAGAAATATCAATTACACCATTCTAGGTACGGATCTAGTTGTAAATTATTAATCTGATCCATTTATTGTAAACAAAACTCCAAAATTTGGGCATTTTGATACTCATGAAAGCTTACACACATGAAACTTACATACCCAGAAAAACTTATATACATAATCTCCATCAAGGGTACACCCAAAATAGCAGTCACTGACTATAATTTAACCTAGGAGTAAGAGTTTTACTCTACACAGAGCTAGGAGAGCAGTGACTCAAGAGGCAGCGACTGGTAATAGAAAAGCACACAGAACCACAGAACCACAGGACCAGGGACAGCAATGAAAATAGACCAGATTCGGAGAAATAAAAACTGAGTAAGAATGCAGAATAGAAGACAGAGGAAGGAACGAGACGTAAACCAAAGAGCCAAGCAGTAGTTTACATGGACAGGTAAGACACTGGTCACAAAGAAGTTCAGTAATTCATTTAAAAATAAGAACCTACTATACAGAGTCAAGCAAAACAGATTAAGACACCAGCTCCAAGAAAATCTTGATACAAAAGGTCTCATTAATAAAAAGTTTCAGATATGCTCCATGTTGTGCAGAGGGCTAAACACAGGGTAAAGAGGTAGAGTCAGAAAGATGGATGGGGCCGGCCCAGTGGCGCACTGCTACAGTGCACTGCTTGGGAGTGCGGAAGTGCTCCCGCTGAGGGTTCGGATCCCACATACAGACCGGTTCCCGTTCACTGGCTGAGCGAGGTGCGGGCGCAACGCCGAGGGTTGCGATCCCGTTGCAGGTCCCGGTCTGGTACGGGCGCGACACTGAGGGTTGCGATCCGTTGCCAGACACGAAAAAAAAAAAAGAAAGATGGAAATATTAAACGAACCGGTCTGTATGTGGGATCCGAACCCTCGGCGGGAGCGCCGCCGCACTTCCCAAGAGGTGCACTGTAGCAGTGCGCCACCGGGCTGGCCCCTCTTTGGTGTATTTTCTGATAATTGAAAAGTTTTCTTTTAGTAGTTAATTTTATAGCTGTAACTTTATTAACATCTCTAATGTTTTATTTCTTCAGACAGGTATCTATTAATCCTCTTACTCACAATAAACAATAATAACGTTAAAGACTTCCCTCCACCTCTTTTTGACCACCAAATTTGAATTATCTTATCTCTATCATCAGTTACCTTCATATCTTGAAATATATCTACATCTCTGTAATAGATTTATCGACCCTACCCAGTATCTTTGGACCCCTGCAATATAAAAGAAAATCAGTCCTCTCCCACTTTACTTCTTGACTTTTGTGTTTTTTGTTTGTTTGGTTTCTGTTTTGTTTGTGTTTTTTGTTGTTGTTCAAATTCTTTGTGGAGAATTTTTGCAATATAAAAGAAAATCAGTCCTCTCCCACTTTACTTCTTGACTTTTGTGTTTTTTGTTTGGTTGGTTTCTGTTTTGTTTGTGTTTTTTGTTGTTGTTCAAATTCTTTGTGGAGAATTTTTTTTTTTTTTTTTAAATATCTTCCTGCATACTCTAAAACGCACAGTGTGAATTTCTTTCCTTCAAAAACAGTTGTGAGCCTGGTCAAATTATGTGAAGTCTTCAGAAGGTCTTTGGAAACACTGCCTTAGGTTTCAGCCAAATGAGTCACAGAAGTTGGTCGTGAACTACTACAAAGTTACAGGAGATCTAATTATTATCCAACAGTTACTAGAAAAGCATTGAGAACACCAGCCAGACAGCCAGACAGAGTAGTGGAAGAGCAGATGCTATTTTAGTCAAAGGATTTCCATATATATGACTCTACTTTTACAGACAGTAAACTTATGCTTAAATAATTATTTTAAGGGCACTCTAATATAAATACAAGTCTCACTAATTTTAATCTTTTCTGACTCACGAATGCATGAAAATACCATAAACACTATTCAAACTTACTTCATTAGTATGTAAATAAGATATATTACAAACGGGAAGAAAATACAAGATGTCTCTTTAGCATGGTAAATCTCTGAATATAAATAAGTAATATTTCACTGGCCTACAATTAAACAGTTATTGAAATCGTTACCTATGTTCGTCATCTCGCCCTCGA